AGCTAAATTGCGAAGGCTGCGATGGTCGAACGCAACAATTTCCTTTACGTTTGTCGACCTGATGGACCAAGTTTCGCAAACCGTATAGAAGGGTTGAACGGATGTTGTATTGTAAACTCTGCCTTTCAGGGCGACAGTAATATCGTGCTGACGTCACAGGTAGCAAGGATGGTCAAAACGCATTGAGCTTCTAGTATGCGGCTCGCGACCCCATTTTATATTCCACGGGCGCTAATACAGCTGCTTAAGTACTTAAACTGCTGTACCTCTAGCTGGGCACTACCAAGGGTCAGCGCAAAGGTGGGTCGCTGCCAAACTTGGATCAGGGCTTTGTATTTGGAGGGGGAAAAGCAAATAGCAAAACGAATCACAACCAGAGCTAAGTTATCCAATGCAACTTGTACGTTCGGGAGCTGTCACAGATGAGGACAATGTCCTCGGTGTAATCTAAGTCGAGAAGCCGGTCATATGCGAGCAGCTCCAGACCATCCAACTTGCGTCCTGCGAACGTCGTCTCCATGATTTCGTCAATGGCGAAGTTAAAAAGGAAAGGTGGTAGCACGTAACCTTGTCTCAATGCTGGAAATATTGAATGGCGACGACAGTTTGCTATATACACTTACTGTACCAGAACTACGCGCGTACAAAGCTCTTCTGCGATTCAAATAGTTGTCCAACAAACATTTCCTGAGCAGATCCTCCCGAAAAGCACATCGATTCACCGAAAGCACTTTTGACGTAGAGGAAGACGAATAGGGCGGATCGCCAATACACATAGCGGTGTTCCGACAATTGGCGTAATGTGTGGATGTGATCAATGCGGTTTCGATTTAGATGAAAGGCGACCTGCTCCTTACGCGTCCAACTTTCACGGCTGCCATACAGTCTATGTAGAACGACCTTAGAGGCGATCAGACTGATATCGTATGATTGCCCCATTTCTAACGTGAGCCTCACGAAAACTGAGACTTTAACAGAGCGGCGCAAGTCTGCTGAGACAGCTTGCTGCGCCCACATCTTCACTAGTGCATATCATCAACAAAAGCAAGTCCCACGAATTCGAAGAGGGCTGAAGGCAGTCCATCTGCTCCTGTGGTTTTATTCAAGCGCAACAATTTGGCCGCACGTTCGATTTCTGCGCGTGAGAGCGGATGCAGGGGGACAGCGATCAGCGTCCGATAAGGAAGCTGGTAACTCTAGTTGTTTAAACTGGTCCAAACCTTTAAATAGGCTGCGTAACCGTTGGCCGATTCTCCGAGCTAGATAAAGTGATTGATTGCATACTTTTCACCACCATGTCAGGTGGCATCTTCAGTGCGGTGATATACTGCGTACGATCCTGCTTATTGAATCGTCAGCCCGTGATCGACCGGCAGGTGACATTTGAAAGTGGCAATTTCGATTTGCGCCTCCTGATCTCTGCCCATTATCTTCCGCGGCTGAAGCATGTCTTCCTATTCGCCGGAGATCTTTCTTGCTGAGCTGATGGTACACGGGATCGATGTCGATGCGCACGTTGATCGAATTACTAGAGGGGTATCATGCTTCTAGGAATGCTCTTCCTGTGTTGTTGGTTGAGCTAGAATCTCTGTTTTGTTCCAACTGAAGCTATGTCCCTCCTCATCCACATGTGCTGAGACAAGAGACGATGCATAATGTTTTTAGAAGCCCTCTGGTGTTCTTGTATCCTTGTGGATAGTTTCTTCCTGTCTGTCCCACATAGTTCATTTCACAATTATTGCAATTTATTTTATACACAGCAAAACGACCCTCTTGCTTGCATTTGGCATTTTTGGTTTAGACATCTGCGGATGAAGCTGCATGGGTATCCATTGCGCTAAAACGAATCGAATACGTGTTTCTCTTCTTCCCGTTTGGCTTCCGCTGTAGTGCAGTGTGTTTCAATCCTGCGAAATAGCGTCCGCACGGCAGCTCAAACAAAGCTTGCGTAATGACCGCAAGACTTGGTGGTCTCAGCGCGCCTCGGAGATGGTGACCTTTGCCCTCTCCAGCAATTTCCGCAAGCTCTTCCAGCTCATTCGGTTAACCGGCCCTGGAAGACCTGTTGTAAGCAAGACTATCTGTGAAGCGGATGGGTCAAGAATCATTAACCTGCGAAGACGCGTAGAGCGTTGGGCCGAACATTTTCACTCCCAACTCAATCCCCATCCATTGTCTGCTAGTATGCCAAGTACACCCAATTGCATGCCTTGCGCCATTTCATTAGAGCCACCTAACGAAGCGGAGGTTTTCGTCGAGACTCGACACCTCAAGAGATTCAAGTCTCCCACCTGGGACAAACTTCCGCCGGAGAGGTTCAAGTATGATACACAGCACTTATCAAGTGGGTGGCATCGCTGTTTTCCAAAATATTGCACGAAGAGAAGATCCCCTCATCCTCCTGGGGTGCATCATTAATTGTCCCTATTTTCAAGAAAGCTGCTCGTACATCCTGTATTAATCATAGGGGAACCAGTCTCATGCCGGTTGCTTCCAAACTGCTGACATCCATTATGCTCCACAGACTATCCCTGATCCGCGAGTTGTTTTACCGAGAAGAACGAGCTGATTTTCGCCCTGGTCGAGGATGCGTGAACCAGAGCTTCACCCTACGCCGAATTCTTGAACACCCCTATCTCTACCACAGGCCAACCATTGTCGTTTTCCCCGACATTCGAGCTGCATTTGACTCGATCGATCAGCCTGCTTTATGCCATTGTTTGCCAAGTATGGAGTCTCCGAAAAGTAAACTTCTATCATTCGGGCGATTTACTCCCAAGTGTCAGGTACAGCGAGGGTATATAGCAAACTTTCCTCACCCTTCGCTATCTCCGGTTGTGTGCGACAACGGTTCCCTTTTCCTCCATTCCTCTTCAATTTGCAATTGAGGGCGTCCTGTTGAGATCTCTGGAAGGCTTTCAAAATCTTGGTAACAAGCTTCTTCCTGGCAATCGTTTGATCGACTTAGATTATGCTGATGATTTCGCCCTAGTCGGTGACGATTCACAGTGTACAGCTCATTTTGAACCACTTGACGATTGAAGCGTCTAAGCATGGTATGCGCTTTTCCTCCTTGGAGTGCAAAGTGCTACTTCAGGACTGGAAGTTGTCTGCTTCCCCTCACTTACCATTGAAGGAACACAGCTAAAGCTTGTGGACAACTTTGTCTACCTCGGAAGCTGTATTTATGTTGATGGCACTATTAGGAAAAAGATAATTCTTCGTATCGTCAGAGCCCGGTCGGCATTTGCCAACCTGAGTCATTTGTGGCATTGTCGGGACATATACCTCCCCTTAAAGGGGAGAGTGCAACGCTTGTGTCGCGCGGTCCTGCTGTACAGAAGTGTGTCCTGGTCGATTCATGTGGATGACATGCGTATGCTTTCGGCCTTCGAGAACACATGTTTGTGGCGCATAGCCCGAGTGTGGTGGCAGTACCGGACTCGCAACGATGAAGTTCGGTGTCGCGTTTTGAGAAACATGAGCCCTCCGCTTGATCGCCTTGTCGCAATACATCAATAGAGATGGCGTGGCAACGTTCTACGTATGTCATGCGAGCACCTGCCACGCTGCGCCTTATTTGCTCGCACAGGATTGAATTGGAAGAGAACGCGTGGAGGTCAGCCAACTACATGGCGACAAAAAATGAAATCGCCGACCTCCTGTCTCGCAATTGAAGGCCCAGTACATCTCTCCGGTTGGGGGCCCAAGGATGACGATTGTAAATGGATCGACGGACTTGGTGAATGGCGCGAAACCGGGATCAATGGAAGGACTGTATATTGGAATGTTTTCAAAAAATGTGGTTAGAGCTTTACCATTCAAAATGCCAAAAAGAAACAAACTGGCGTGTAAAAACCAACAAAAAAACAAAAAGCCAAAAATATTTGTTAGCATTTCTTGACATTTGTACTTTTTATGTTATGCCCCGTGGTTTTTCGATGGCTCAATAACTACTTACAGGCTGATGCATATATATATATATATATATATATATATATATACCAGGGGCTGGAAAATCTATCACAGATGGCACCGCTGTGTAGTCAGTGGCGTCCCTGCGTTCGGTTTCTTGTACCTAATTGTTGGTTTTCATTTTTATCCGATTCGTTTCACGCACCCCTTCTGGATTAAATTTTCCTTGCATTTTATTTGCATTCAAGTTCGTTTTCATCGTTTTTATTTATTTAGGTCGTGTTAATTGGATCCAGTGCAGTTCGTTGCTCGGACCATAGTTGTTTAAATGAAGCAAACTGGAGGAATAACTCGGTTCACAACCGCGCCGTCACATCGCGATCGGCTTCGCCAGCGTGAGTGCCAATTCTAACGCAGTTCCCTAGTCTGTCTGGTATAAAAGGGCCATGATTACAATCGCTGGGCATGTTGTTCCGCCAACCTCGTAGATGCTAATTAGCGGTGGAGTAGTTTGCATCCGATTGCTTTAGGCGTTACTTAAGTCGTTACGTCTGAAATGTCTAGTTACACCACGTTTTAGTGACCTCGCTGCAACGGGTCAGGCCGGGGATTACGAGCGCTTCCGTGTGTAACGCGTAGGCAGGTCACAATAAACCTGGGTGGGTGCAATACAAAATAAATACCTCGTAGGCGGCTTGATGAAGTAATTACAAGCACCTAGTAAGGTGCGTCAGGCTTACACCTTGTGACTAGCTGAATGCCGCTCCTACAGATGCCGAGGTTTTCGAGCCTAAACTGAATGACTGGTGAGAACAAGTGCGCGTGATGCTCATAAACTAAACAGGGAGGTAAAAAAGAGGACATAACAATGGCCGTCCAGTCGAAGTTAACGATCTGCCTACCTTATGGATCGCTACAAGATCACTTATACACCTGCTAAGCTCGCCAAAGAGCCCATTTTAAGCTATAGGTGTCCACCTCGTTAAACATTAGTAAAACCAGACCCTTAGATAGTATGACCGAGAAATTTAGAAATCAACAGAATGGAGGAAAAATAAGTGATAAGGAATTAGGAAACTGCTTACCTTATGAAAGAACGTAGTTCTGATGTAGTCCAAATGGCCCAATAAATTGAACAGGCATTTTTTCTGCTTGTAGTTCCAAACTTTTATCTTGTAGTCATCGCCACCAGAGACAAATAAGGGCTGATTAATGTGAAAGTCTACGCCACGGACCGGTCCTTCATGGCCTTCGAACTTATCGATAAGGGTGCAGCTCCTAAAATCCCAAAGCTGAATGACCCCCGTATGCAGACTGCTTAGAACCCACGGACGTTTATGGTGAAAAGCCAATCCTGAAAACAGAGTTGGTAGGCGTAAGGCCACGCATAGCACAACCATATAAACAATCATAAACAGTTTATTCCACCTAAAAGTAACGTTAAACGCGTGCAAAATGTGTCCTAATTCACAAACTTAATAAAACGAGTGGTTTGTAAAGTTCAAACGGGAGTATACAGAAGCAACTCGCGTTGATTACGAATATTATATATATGGCTGACCGCATATACATGTGTTAATATCGATTTCGTTCTACATGAATGCATACAGTGTACTACTCCGGTAATTAGCTTTGCCCATGCCGAACTGCATCGAGCTGCGGAAGTCTCTTGAATGGGCCACCGTCAATTAGTCCACCCGCTACAGAGGTCCTGAAAAACGTTCTGAGCCCGGTTTAGCAACTCCTGCAGGTGTTCAAAGTAGGCCATCTGCTGCTTTTTTTCTTCACAACTACTTCCAATCAATGTATCGGTGATGAAAGAGAAAACAAATGTATTAAGTCAGTCGTTTACTGCTATGAGCAGCCACTGTACAATAAGAATAAGAATAAAGAAATAATGTGTCAGCTGTGCGACGCAACGGCGTTCCGCTGCCGCGCGACCACCACCAGTCGCGCGTGGGCTGAGTATACCGCGAGGACGCACACCCCTACGCGGATTCGAACCGGGGACTTTATGGCTGCAAAGCAAGTGCGCAGACCACTCGGCCAACGGCCGACGCTACTGTACAAGCTGCAAAGACAAACGTGTCAAAGCCGAAACCTAAACCTGGGGCAAGATCGTCAAATTCCAAGCTAAAAAATGTCCTTGACCGCGTCAAGCAGCTGGAGAAATTAATTAAGTAATATCCACATCACCCAAAACGGCAGCCCACCGTTGGAACCGGACACTGATCTTGTGTGATGTCTGATCATCATGAATGTTCCTGAATGCAACAAGGAAACCTAGCTGAAAGGATATTGGATGACCAGACCTTCATACAGCGAGTCATTTCCCTTAGGCTCGACCTCGGTGAACAGGGGATAATACTCTTTTCTGCTACTTAGCCTGGGTAGAAATCAACACGATCCCTCCAAAGCCCGGTTCATGAAAATCAACTGTCAAAGTGAGGACAAATGTCATCGCATTCTCTGATAAACTTTTCGTCTTCCGGCAGAAAACTTATACATTCTATGAGATCTCACCCCAGAGGACCTAGATAAAAGGAAGAAAGCTGTCGATGGATTGTATGCGCGTACAGCGAACGGAGAAACCGACCATAGTTAGGATTTTTGGTTACTTCAAAAACTCGAAGAACTCGCTGTAGATCAAACTTCATCGTTCCAAGACTTTAAGATCAAAGGGTGGACTACGCGTGATTTGTGCGTAGCTTGTGAAACAAGTTAGACGATTTCTATCTCTTCGTCTTAGCACCACTCGGAATTGATGGCTTTCATTGAGACTAGGTTGTCTTCGGACATCCCAGACCCGGAGGTGCATATGCAAGTATATCATCGTGCTGATGCTAGATTTGGAGACGGCGTGATTCCTTACTAGAAAGCGGACCTAAGGGTATGTATTGTGGAAACAACAAAACAACAGCAGCAACGACAACAGTGTATCAGAGATGCTTCGATGTTATACAAACATGATGAGCTAGGGAAAGAAGAATAAGAACAGGGAAAGAAAGGAAGCCCTAGCGTTAAACCTTAATGGGCTAAACAAACATTTAGGGTCAAGGTACTTACAGCTAATATCAACAACATCCTGTCACAAACAGTAGGCTATCGTTCACAGACAAGGCGGCATTAGCGTGACAGATTCCTTGCGGCTTTCAGTGTCCCGCACCAAAATCAGCCATCACCTTTCAGAGAACATAGTATCAAACACACTGCAAACAGTCCGTCCGACAACGAGACAAAAGACAAGCCACTGGTACCAACTGCGAGTCGTGTTTTGTAATCTCTCGAGAAAGCACAAGGCGAGTCCCGTGGACTCCAGTCTGCAAGGCGAGACGAACTAACGGCAACGCGTTTGGTCATCAGTGACTTCGTTTCCCGCTACCAAGTCAAATCTGCCCACCTCGGACTTTTCGTCAACATTCATCTGGCAGACGAAACAATACCCTCCTTGGTAAGCGGTGACCAGGCAAACGTAGTACGCCCCAAAGTCAATGCAACCTATTTAGTGTTCTAAGGTCATTACCATTATACACGTTAGCTTGAGGTGAGAACACCTCAGCTGCTGTGTTCTAAGAAACTTGTTTGGTTATCACAGCCTAGCACTCGCCTACGCAAATCATTGTTTCGGACACGCTGATGCCACCCGACACCAGCAATGCCCGCAGGAAACGGTGAAAAGAGTTAAAGGCCCCACAAATCCTGAGATTGAAGGGAGCAAGTTTCACTCTCATAGAATGGGACGGCCCTCACAGTGGTCTCGTAAACATGGTCTTTCGGACCGATAAAAACACTTCTGTAACGCCACGGCTGTCGTAGATTCAAGAAAACAGTTATTGCTTTTATAATACATGAGTTGACTTCAGTGCTTATACGCACTTCGCTGCTGATGCAGCTGCCAAGATAAGTAAATTGAGCAACTACTACGAATTTCTCGCTATCAAGAGTCAAGGAGACTGGACTTTAGCATGGTGCGTTGGTTCGCGCACCCCTTGACACACTGAGCTACGCTGGGTGGCACATTCCAAGTACTTCAGAGCCACTCATAGCAGACAGGTCAATGGTTATGGGTCAGACTAACGCAGCCTCCTAATCCGATCCTCTTAGGAGGTTGAGGAGAGGTCGACGGCCCAGCTCCTTTAAAACTTAGCCATAGGAGACAACAGGTCTACGGGTTATAAGGTCACAGCTCGATTGGCGTAGAGCACGAGCGCCACGCATTGTCTCTGACGGTAGGAGGGCACCTTCGGGTGCTCAATGGTTTGCTACCACCCGCTTCAAGTCAGGCAGCCCCTGGTCAAATTCGTGCAAACCCGCCAACTCCCGTCTGCGGCTGGCCGTGGTCGCAGGTGCGTAACGCAATACGGTTGTAAAACATGTGTATTGTTCCAAATCGTCAAAGGTTTGTGTGACAGGCCTCAAGCAGATCTCATGGGACCTCTGCAATCACACTCCCAAGCTGGACCTGCTGCCCAGTGCCTCGTACGTCAGGCTATTGAGTCAAAGGCTCGGGGTGGAGTCCTTCAAGTGACCCTCCAAATCTCCCAGTGATTTGTGGGTCAGGCTATTGAGCCAAGGACTCTGAGTGGAGCCTCTCAAGCGAACCTTCATATACCCCACTGCCTTGTGGGCATCTCGAACCAAACCCTCTCTTGGAATGGGCAGCCGGAGAGTATCATCTGCCCTCTAGACCACGTCTGTAATACCCGCTTTCATTCTTCTTGTTTTTCTCTCTCCTCCGCCTATTGAGCAAGACTGCCACTGACTTCGCAGCTTCTGTCATCGTTACATGCAGCACTACTATCAAATCTAGAGTTTAATTTCACATTGCTTCTTTTAACGTCCGCACTCTAGGTCAGATCGACCAGCAGGCAATAAAGACGCTTATTTTTCACCCTATTGTTATTGATGTGTGCTGTTTATCCGAAACTCGAATACAAGATAACAGCGTTGTGACAAATTTTCGACTCCCTGGTTCTGAACCTGACTTTCATGACTACACACTTCGCGTCTCTGCCGATATCGAGTTAATGGCTCAAGGTATTTACGGTGTTTATATTGCCCTCAGCAAACATACTGAAGACAATCTGCTCGAGTGGATACCAATGAACAGCCGCATGTGTGCCGTTCGACTTCGAGCTATTGTTGGAGTTAATAAGCAACGTTTGAAACCAAGATTCCTTTTCATCGCCTCAGTTTATGCCCCTTCAGAATGCAGTTCAGAGGGCATCAAAGACTATTTCTATCGACAGCCCTCATCTCTTCTTCGCATGGCGAAGAATACCGACATCGCGATCGTTGCTGGTGACATGAATGCCCAAGTGGATCGTCTTTCGACTGAACAGTACCTGTGAGGGCGCTTCGGAGTCGATGCACGCCGAACGGACAATGGTGATCGATTCCTGCAACTGTGCGCCGAGCACAACCTTTACTTCAGCAACACTGCATTCCAGCACAAACGTTCACACCGCGTCACCTGACGCACACCGAATCTCTCCATGACCTGGAACAAAATTGACCACATTGCCATCAACTACAGATGGCGCACATCAGTACAAGACTGTCGGTCAATTTGGAGCAAGTGCCTGGATTCTGATTATGCACTAGTGCGCGCAAGCTTGGCGCTCACTCTTCCTGCATCAAAGAAGCTTCCACCCTCTAACTCGCAATCTGCATTTCAACAATATTACGACGAACTGGCCCACTAATTGTCAGTGATGAATGAGGTTGGTGAGCCGAACGTTGACTGGAACCGTTTCAAATGTGCCATGAAGAACACCTTAAGCGCACGCTGTGCACATAACTTCAGACGTCGTAACTGCGAATAGACCTCTGAAGCATTGATCAGCTTGATCGAAGCACGGAAACAAGTTCCGACGGGCACCGCGTTTCAGTTGGTCCGTAACTCTCTGAAACGACGCATCACCAGCAGTCTTCGAAGCGACGGGGGATGTTGGTGGATTGCAACGGCCCGTGAGATAGAGAAAGCCAGTGCTATTAAGAACAGCCTTCTGTTCCGGCTCATCTGTAACAATGGTCCGAGAAAACTATCTGTTAGCGAGAAATTAGCTGAGAAAAATGGACAGCTGATTCATTCTCAGCGTCTTTGACTATCCTGTTGGGCGGAACATTTTGTACAGCAGTTCAGCAGGCCTGCTGCAACACTGCTGCTTGCCGAATCGCCTGAGCCGTCCTGAGAAGCAGATATGACACCCACTTTGGAAGGGATTCGACATGAAACTTCCGGGTTGAAACGAAACAAGGCCCGTGGACCCGACGATCTTCCTTTATCCTTGCTGAAAGATGACGGTGACCCTTTGTTGATTGGATTCGCAACTCTACTTAACACGATTTGGC